TGGTGGGTGTCGATTCAGTAACAGCCTGCCCTAATGTAACAGAGCTGCACATCCTGATGTGAAAAGATCAACAGGTCCTCGGGGTCTGCAGAAGCCACTCTGACTATTCTGTCTGCTCGTCTTCCTCATTTCTGTCCTGAACAACAAAGTAGAGCTGGGCGATATGATCAAAATTTTATATCACGGCATTTTCAACATTTTCACCGGTTTCACGGTATTTGACGGTATTTTTCTTTTCATCACAGCTCAGCTGATAATAAAATGTACAAACCCTGCTTATTGACTTTTTTCTTTTACTGTACCTCTGTCTGTGTCTCTATTTCCCTCCTCTGTGTCTGTTCTTCTCTGACTGGTGGTTGGAGACAGTAGTCGCGCATTTTAGTCCAGTCGTGAAGGAGGAGGGTTAAGAAAAGATTATGATCGGGTTTATTGTTTTATGTTATTTATTAAAGCTTATCAGCAAGACTTCCCTTGCACACCAGTCAATTCCAACTCCACTACGAACTACTTCCTGCAGGCTTTTCACAATAGAAGCACGTTAAGTCTCCATCAGCACAACGTCTCCATATTAACTAACCATGTTAAATCTAACTGTGCACGTCACTGAAGAGGTGTTTACTACATTCAGTGACGGCGAAAACGGGATGTTTTTTAAACGTCACGTCAATATAAGCAGCGGAATTGCCACCCGCGGCTACAACTAGCTGCTCCAAACATTAGCATGCTAACGCACATAGCGGTGCAGCAAGGAAAAATGTCCCCCGGGAAACAGTTCACTGGTGGCCGCGACGAAACGTTCCGCTGTTTAAACCAGAATGTCCGGTATTCAAAAAATTCATATCATAACAAAAATAAAAACCGGTATTCGGTACAAAACAGTATACCGCCCAGCACTACATCAAAGTTCATAAAATGTTTCTAGAAAAGAAACATTGTTGTTTCTAAACATTGTTGTTTCTAATTGTTGTTTTCTAAACATTTTTCTAAACAGATTGTTTAGAAAAATGTTACAAACTATATCCAAGTATGTCCTGATGCATCTCAGTAATCCAGGTAGAAAAAAATCAAAAAGAAAAAAATAAGTAGGCCCTCTGGATGGGTTCTTCTTTAGTGAAACATTTCGTCTCTCCTCCAAGATAATTGGAGGAGAGACGAACAGCCTCTACATGGTGGACAAACAGGTTAGTCACATGCAAAAGAGGGCTATCGCCTAACAAAAGGCTTGATTAGCTCTATTGTTCAAAGAGGGTCATGTGCCCCACCACCTGACTTATTGGTTTGGATGCTTCGCCTGTGGTTATTTGGTGTTTTGTTTTGCATATGTAGTGAGTGCAAGCGGGGTTCAACGTCCCCTTGTTTTGTCATCTACAGGCCAGCGGTCACTCTTTCAGAGATGAAAATGTTCTCATCCTTGATAGAGAGGAACGCTGGTTTGAGAGAGGAGTAAAGGAAGCCATCTTTGTGAAGAAAAACCGTCCACCATTAAACAGAGGTGGAGGCCTTTGTGTCCAGTTGTCTTCCTCCTACAATGCTGTTATTGCAAGTATGACTCAGCCTCCTGTGAGCAAAAGGTGTGAATCAGGGCCCCAACAATATCAACACAAATCAGGAAATAGAGACAAAAACAATGGGACGTTGAACCCCGCTTGCACTCACTACATACACATAACACAACACCAAATAACCACAGCCAAAGCATCCAAACCAATAAGATCAGGTGATGGGGATTGTCTTTAAAATTCTCTATGACCAACCAACAYGTGTTAGATGCTTATACTGAGATTGCAAGTTCAACAAGACAGATAGAAACCAGACAGTTTGGTAAGAATGTCCACCTWCTGTTGTTGAAACATATTATAAAAGCAAATTGAACTGAAATAATAAAATTGATGTCATCACCTCCCATCMTTCTTTAAATTGTCTACTGCTGCTGGTAGATGAAAGCAAAGTGTGTTTCAACTTTGTTTCATTAAGTACAAACCATATGCTATAATTGTATTTTTTTTAAGGACGCCATCCTTCTTGGAAAAAAAACTTCTCTACACAAACATAAAATGATGTTTTCCCYACACACACCCTGGAGGATGTAAACACACATCTATCAGCAGCCGCGTCCCTAAACGAAAGCAATTTCACATTAACATAAATTAAAGGCACATAAACTTTCTTAAGAGACCTCCACGAAACCAAACGTAATAAAGAACCCCTCTTCCTGRATTCATGTATTATTCAACATTTGGACAATTAGAAGCCCTAATTAACATTAGCTGCCTTCCAACTATAGCTGCTGGAGGACTGGGGGTGGGGGTGAGAAGGGGGGTCACTGGGATTAAAGGCTGGATGAGAGCATCGGATTTACAAACCAGACGTGAGCTTTCATAAACACAAAATTATGGAGTTGTTTTATGCTCAAAAATGAAAGAAAACAACTTCTGAATTTGTTGTAAATATTTGACACGTGTGTGAGTTGTTCAGGTTCAGCAAAATACTTTGCAAAGAGATACTCATTCAGCTATAAAAAACACAGATAAGCAGGTCCTGGGAACTCTCCCCAACAGGAGGAGAGGCCTAGGATCTAACCTCTAAAACTGCAGCAGAAGGACAACCACTAACCCTGTGCCGTTTTGTGCAGCCTCTTGCAGCCAACGTCTCCGTGCGAACTCAGATACCGCAGACCTTTCTCCACATGCCAGATTATCTCCTCAATATTCATCACCGCATCTCTAAATGATAGATCAAAAGCTGATGTCTGCAGGTTAATATAACAGCAGGACTACCGTAACGTTTCATACGAAGTCGAACCGCATGAGGTTGAAAATCAATTATTATCAAGAATCCTATGAAATTTTTAACAGCTTTCTTAACCACCCCGTAATAATGGACAGAAGCTAACGCAGGTCAGACACATGAAAGGCATTGGAAAAGGATCTATGATCTCTGTTTGCCCCTCCCACGTCAAATTAAAAGAGAATAAAGTGCATTTGCTAAGAGTGGATGGAGAGCGGAGAGAAAGCGCTCCTCTTTTTTGGATAGTTGCAACAGCTCACTAGAGAGACATTAAAAGTGTGCGAAGCGAGCAGTGGCAGCTTGGGTTACATGTCTGTATCAATAGCAGCTGTTGTTTTCATTAGATTGTGGCCACCAAGTCCCTAAAGTGATCTCTCTTTGTACCAGCAGTCTGCAACTCATACATGGAATGGAGATAAATGAATCAACACAAATCTACCGGAGAGAGCAGCAAAGGGAGGGGAGAGAATGACGCTTCTATCCAAGTCAAACATGTTAGCATCTAAATCCTTCATTTCAATGATTACGCCTTTATACTTTTATTAATCTGTTTGCTTTATTAGAGCAGTTGTTCCTAGAGCGTTCTGCCTTCCACCAACAAAATAAAAGCTGCAGGAACTTGCGACCCCAACCAAATTTCTGAACACAAACATTGCTAATGAGTTATTTAAAAAGAGCTTTTTTAAAACTATATCTACAGTGGACGTTTATGCATTTATGACAGTTATTTATTTATTTTTAATTTCTTATCTTTTTTTAATAACCCCTCTAATCTAGACACATCTCTAGAAGATTAAAATCAGTAATAAGCTGTAGGTTTATGGGTTTGATTGTGCTAATCCAAACATTAGGAGCTAGGGGGATACTTTATAAAAAAGTACAATAAAAATTACAAAAAAATACAYATTAGCACAACCCTTTGACCCACTTGTACTTAAATCTATTTATCTTCACTCAACTATCATTTAATGTCTCTGACAGWAATTTGTCCTGATGAAGAGCAGCTTGTACACATGGGTACACAGAAAGTCTGGTTATAAAATGTTTGATTTCCGTTGCCGATCCAACCCATGATCTTTGGAAGCAAAATACAGCATGTTCATGTGTCGGCTCGTTTCGAGCTAAAAATCAATAAAGCTCTGTGACAGATGTTCAAATCAGTAAAAATCAATGTCTCTTTTACATTTTAGACACCGGCAGGAAGTACGAAGACTTGGAATGGTGACAAGACTGTGGTTTGCATGGAAAATACGCAGTGTAYGTGGATCTTTGCAGATTGCTGAAAATGCTATTTGGTAACTTTTTTAAACTGATACTTTAAAAAAAAACATTTATGTGCAGTAAAAGCTTGGAGAGGGATGTTTTCTTGATACTCTTACATATRGAGCACCAAGTGTAAAATGAAAAATTTCACTAAAAATTTTTCACTGTTTAGCTCACTTTTTGAGTGTAATATTTTTAAAATTATTTAAATATTAAATCCTAAATCTAAATATTTAAATCTAAATGTAAAAGTTAACTTTTTCAGCAGTGTTAGCAACAGCTAGAAGCATCCACTGTTGATGTTTGTTGCAGGATGATGACATCATCCTGGTTATCTGATGCTAACYTCTGCTAACGCTTCTATCCCTGCCAAAGATTATATTTAAAATCTAAATTAAAAATGCGTTCATAAAAAACAGTATGGGTGGTACTCGTGGTCCAGCAGTTTGAAGTGCAGCTCAGACACCGGCCATAACTGCAAGTTTGATGTCTTGCAGGAAAGCTTTAGCTGCATTGGAGTGCTAGCGGTTGCTATTGTCTCGGGATGATGACATCATAACATGAGCCGAGCACCTTAATGTGAACTTCAATATTTAAGGTTTAGCTTTTACATTTACTGTAGATTTCAAAATTTAGATTCAGGATTTAATATTTACATACATTTTTTTAACATTTGGTAAAAAAAATAGCTAAATATAAGAAAAGTGAGCTAAATAATGAAAAATATTTCACTAACACTCACTAAGACGTATACATCCATAGTGCCAATACTGACACATAAAAATCTTAGAYGTGTTCAAAATTTAATTAATTATTTTCAGTTTTTTCCACCATAAATGGACTTTGAGGCTGAGAAGATCGTCTGAAGAGTTTAAATGTGAAGTTTTTTTGTTCGGCTACTACTCAAAGGTYATTCCAGTCCTCCTCTTCTCTAAACGTTCACTTCTTACCTGCAGCGCACTGGTCCTCGTCTGCCCCGTTCTCACAGTCTCTTTCTCCGTCACATCGCCATGACAWTGAAACACATTTGCTTGCAGCCCCTCCACAATCAAACTTCTCCGGTGGACAAGTCTGTCGGCCTGTTGCGAGACAGCATGAAGAAGAAAGAAGGGAAAAAAAAGAAAATAAAGTACAGGGGAGAGAGCGACAGCAAAGAGATGAGAGAGAAGAGGAGCAGAGAAGAGACAGAGAGAAAAAAAAGATGAGGAAAGTGGGACAAAAAATGGGAGAGGAGGCAAAGACGGGGAGAGAAGGGACAGCCAGTCAATGAAACAGTTTGATAACTTAGTTATCTTGTTGCTCAAATCGATTTCTTCTCAAAGGCCTGCAATTTAACTAGACACACAGCAACAGTGGAACAAAGAAGCACACTGTCAGGCCAGACACAAAGCCYGGAAAAACACACAAACATAAAAAAAACATACAGGCTAAACTGCAAGAAAAACAAACATTTGGAGGTAAATGTTGCTGTGTATAAAGTCAGATACAGTATCTTGGTGCCATTTGAACAGTATGTCAGTAATCAGCGGTGGGCAGCACTAATATAAAAATTAATTCCACTAGCCCTAAAATACAAACTCAAATATTTAGGTCCCCTAATTCTAAAGCACTTATGCACTGA